AGGGAAGGGAATGGAAGGGAAGAGAAGAAGGGAAGGGAAGAGAAGAATGGAAGAGAAGAGAAGAGAAGAATGGAAGAGAAGAGAAGAGTTGGAAGGGATCTTGGAGGTCTTCTAGTCCAACCCCCTGCTCAGGCAAGAAACCCTATACCAGCGGTGGCGAACCTTTTACTCACCGAGGGCCGAACAGATACACACTTTGCATGCTTTGCACACATGTGTGCTATCCACGCTAATGCACGGCTCCTCCCCTGTGCGCTGCGCATGCAACCGCACCATCCATGCACGTGCACGGATTTCACGCGTGCCCCCCTGGGCTCTGCGTGCACAGCGACATCATCTGTCCATGCACATGGCTTTTATGCGGCTCCCCCCCGTGCGCTGCACATGCAATCGCACCATCTGTGCATGTGCACAGTTTTTGTACTCTCACGTGCATGCGCAAATGCGCGCACATGCGCAGGAGAGCTCCGAAGATCAGCTGGGTCCCCTGAATTGCACACATGCGCACCTCGGGCACATGTGCCATAAGTTCGCCATCACCGCCTTATATCATTTCAGACAAATGGTTGTCTAATCTCTTCTTAAAAACTTCCAGTGTTGGAGCATTCACAACTTCTGGAGGCAAGTCGTTCCACTGATTAATTATTCTAATTATCACAAAATTTCTCCTCGGTTGCTTCTCTCCTTGGTTAGTTTCCATCCATTGCTTCTTGTCCTGCCTTCTGGTGCTTTGGAGAATAGCTTGACTCCCTCTTCTTTGGGGCAGCCCCTGAGATATCGGAACACTGCTATCATGTCTCCCCTCGTCCTTCTTTTCTTTAAACTAAATACGATAAATATAATTTGCTTCACTTCCGTCTGCTTTCCTTAATGACTTCAGCGGTTTGCTTAACAACCCCCATAAACACATTCAGATAATCGGATTCAGTCATGTGGTGCTCGACTTACCACCACAAGACTTTTCACAAAAATTCCGGTCACAATGGTGGTCCTATCTACGGGACCGCCTACTACCACCAATAGCCTCCCACCGGCCAGTACGCTCTCATAGAGAGGGACTCCTCCGGGTGCCGTCAGCCAAACAGTGTCGGCTGGCAGCCCCTAGGGGGAGAGCCTTCTCTGTGGGGGCACCTACTGTCTGGAATGAGCTCCCCCCAGAGATACCGAGGATCCCGGATCTGTGCACCTTCTGCCGCGCCGTGAAGACCTTTTTATTCCATCAAGCGGGCTTGGCCTAATCTCCTCCCTCTTTTAATATGTAAATTTTAATCTGTTTTTAAATTATTGGGGTGTTTTAATCTGTCCGGGCCAAAATGATTTAATTTGATTTTATCTGGTTTTTAATTTTTTTGTATTTATGTATTTTATTGTTTGGCTGTTCACCGCCCTGAGTCCTTCGGGAGTAGGGCGGTATACAAATCAAATAAACTAAACTAACTAAACTATGTCGAGCACTACCTGTAGTAGCATTGACCTAAGTCCGTGATGGCGAACCTGTGGTACGCGTGCCACAGGTGGCAGGCGGAACCATATCGGTGGGCATGCAAATGTTGCCCTAGCTTAGCTCCAGCGTGCATGCGCGTGCCGGCCAATTGATTTTTGAGCCTTCAGGGCCTACCGGAAGTTGGGAAACGGGCCATTTCCTGCCTCCACAGGGCCTCGGGGGGGCGGGGGGAGGCTGTTTTTGCCCTCCCCAGGCTCCAAGAAAGCTTCTGGTGCCTGGGGAGGGCGAAAAACAGGCCTACTGGGTCCAGCTTGCCATCACGTGCCAAAAGCGATGGGAGCGTGGTGGGGTCACATGCGCGAGGGGCAGGGTGCATTGAATTATGGGTAGGGGCATGGGCGTGTGTGACCCTCCCGTGTCCCCACCCCCTTTTGGCACGCGACAGCAAAAAGGTTATCCATCACTGACCTAAGCATTTCATTAAAAACTCTTTATTATTTTCATGAGTGTTTTGACTACGCTAATTTGGCTAAGCACCGACAGTCTCTTCGTTACTTTCTATTCCCATTTATTTGGTTCCATGATTTTTATTGTTTGTCTTCCTGATGCAATGACAGCTGTTTTTTTGCGGTGCTTACCTTGATGTATTTCTTTTATTAAATTTAAAGGCTCACATTTTAAAAAGTTAAGGCTGATAAAAGCTAATCTACAGCAAGCGGTAGAACGGAGACGCGTTGCAAACACAGTTAGATAAATAATTTATCAGGCGGTCACGCTCAGACAATCTCACGCAAAGCGTTTATGAGGATCTGATGTTTGGTTTTTGCAATTTCCCCCTGGTCCTTCTTTAGAGTAGAACTTTAAAAAGTTTCTTTCTTCATGCATGACCGTTTTGCTGAGATTTTAGATGGTGTTTCTATGCCCAGGCTTATAAACATTTTAAACGCTGTAATCCGAAATCGGTATTCCTAGCCCCAAACCTTTTAACTCTGATTTTTAAGGTGTAAAATCAATGTTTCTCAAACTTGGCAACTTTTAACATGCGAGAATAGGATAGGATAGGATAGGATAGGATAGGATAGGATAGGATAGGATAGGATAGGAGTAGGAAGAGGAATAGAATAGAATAGAATAGAATAGAATAGAATAGAATAGAATAGAATAGAATAGAATAGAATATTAGTAGAGTAGAATGGAAGGGAAGGGAAGAGGAGAAGAGAAGGGAAGAAGGGAAGGGAAGAGAAGAGAGGAGAGGAGAGAAGAGAAGAGAAGAGAAGAGAAGAGAAGAGAAGAGAAATGTTAGGGCTAACATTTTCGCTTAGTGTTTTATGTTCTTACTGCAGTTCGTTTTAATTGTTGTATACTTTTTGCTGTATTATACTGTTTTACATTGTTCATTTTTAGTACGGATGCTTCTATAACACTCTGCATAGATCCTATTGTCCTATTGTTGTTTTAGTTTAGCCTTACATTTGTGTGTTTTGCTGGTCTTTGACTGCAGGAATAAAAACTTGATTTGATTTGACAATCTAAGTCACGATCTCCCTGTCTGTCAGATGGATTTATTATGGCGTTTTTCAGGGATGTTTGATAATGCTCAGAAAGGAGTTTGATGCTCCCAATTTATAGCTTCTTGGTTGGCCAGTTTCTTTGCATTCAGATGGTCACTGGTTCTGTTGCATGTACAGAATTCCTGGGCATATTGTTCTGCCCCAGCTCCAGATTCCCGAGGATATTGACACACACCAACGGTCCTTATCAAATTTATTAAGTAGCAAGAATAAACCAAAGTCCGGCAAAGGTTGGCAACCAGCCCAGAAAACAAAATACGATAAGACTTTTCCAAAAATGCTCTGATGATAATTACAAGTTGTTTCCAGCAAGAAACTTACTAAAGGCGTGTGACTTAAATAGGCTAAGGGAGTGGCCAATTATCCTCAAGCCTTACTCTCGAGGAGACCTCCTCCTCCTGAGTAGCCACTCCTGCCTTTTGTCAGCCCTGCGTGCCCGAGCATTGAGGAGAGGCTCCTCCACTTCGCTCTCTCCACTTGAAGGAGCCTCTGGAGGTTCTGAAGGCCCTGGCTGAGTCTCTCTGCCTCTGGCACCACATACTCTTCAGCCTCCTCGCTGTCCGAAATGAGCACCCGCTGCGCCGGCTGCTGGCGCAACACCACACCAGCCTCCTCGTCGTTGGGATCAGCCACAATCCATGCAGGCCACTGGCGGGCTACAACACATATCAAGGAATATGAATTCTTTTGGAAACCATGGCGTGCTTCTGTCAGTTTCTTTATTTCTTTGTATCCTACCTTTATTGTTTTCACAAACAATTCAAAGATGGCGAACGTATCCAAACACGACTTCCTGCTCCTACTTTTCCCCACAACAACCCTGTGAGGTGGCTTGGGCTGAGAGAGGGAGGGACTGGCCCAAAGTCACTCAGCCTGTTTTTCATGCCTAAGGCGGGACTAGAACTCATGATCTCTTGCTGATTGACCCGAAGTCACTCGGCCAGATTTCGTGCCTAAGGTGGGACTAGAACTCACGGTCTCTTGCTGATTGGCCCAAAGTCACTCGGCCGGATTTCGTGACTAAGGCGGGACTAGAACTCTCAGTCTCCTGGTGATTGGCCCAAAGTCACTCAGCCGGATTTCGTGCCTAAGGCAGGATTAGAACTCATCGTCTCCTGGTGATTGGTTCAAAGTCACCCAGCTGGTTTGCATGCCTAAGACAAGACTAGAACTCATGGTCTCCTACTTTCTAGCCTGGTGTCTTAACCACTGGACCAAACTGGTTCTCGGTTTATTTATTTTTTTAATTTTATTGATTTATTTGTCAAACACATATAAGATTACAGATATTGGTATAAACATGATTATGAATACAGGATAAGGATACGAATAAATGGGGACAGGAGAACAGGGATGGTAGAGACGCTGGTGCACTTATTCACACCCCTTACAGACCTCTTAGGAATGGGGTTTGGTCAAAAGTAGACAGTCTAAGGTTAAAGTTTTGGGGAAGAAACCACAGAGTCAGGTAGTGCATTCCAGGCATTGATCACTCTGTTGCTGGAGTCGTATTTTCTGCAATCGAGTTTGGAGCGGTTCACCTTGAGTTTGTATCTATTGTGTGCTCGTGTATTATTGCGGTTGAAACTGAAGTAGTCGTTGACAGGAAGGACATTGTGGCAGATAATTTTGTGTACTACTCTTAGGTCAGACTGAAGGCGGCGTAGTTCTAAGTTGTCTAGGCCCAAAATTTTAAGCCTGGTAGCATAAGGAATTCTGTTGCGAGCAGAGGAGCGGAGGACTCTTCTCGTGAAATACCTCTGGACTCGCTTAATTGTATTAATGTCCGATAGGCAGTGTGGGTTCCAGGCAGATGAGCTGTATTCGAGAATTGGTCTAGCAAAGGTTTTATATGCCCTAGTTTGCAGTTGGTGAACATCATAAGGAACCAGATGGATCACTGGTCCTAAATGGATGTAATGAACCTTCTTAGATCCATTACGGTTTCTACAATCCCAATTTAACCTGTGACTTCTCTTTTCTAGGACAATTAGATCAGATTGCCTCCCGGACCCCCTTTTGTTGATGTGGAAGAGACCGATCAGAGGGCCATGGATGTGAAAGACAGAAAGCCATACCGTTCTTTGACCAAACGTTGCGATGCTGAACGCCGCTACACCAGCTCCTCCGCAGAGAGCGAGGACAGCAAAATCCCGCAGAAGTCGTACAGTTCCAGCGAGACTCTGAAAGCCTATGACCAGGATTCCAGAATGATCTACGGCAATCGGGTTAAAGACATGGTACCCCAAGAAGCAGACGAGTACTGTCGAACGGGTAGGTAGGAGCTACTCATATCATGAGCGTTATAAAAGTCACCTGTTTTTTATAGCCAGGCGGTGGCTCATCTGATTAAGAAGGTTAAACAAACCACAATTGTGAGGCTCCCAAAATCGAAAAAGACATGTGGAGTTACTTCTTAGCAGTTCCTTTTATTGTTCCTCGCCTATAGACAGAAATCTATAGCAAATCTTTAGCCAAACTAAAGCAACTACTTGCATCCTTTAATATATACCGTACTTTTCAGAGAATAAGATGCACTTTTTCGCCCCTAAAAGAGGGTGGAAATGTTGCTGCGTCTTATACACCGAATACAGCCGTTTTTGGCCTCCCGAAACCTCATCCGTATGTCCCATTTTCACCAAAAACAGGCCCATTTTTCGCAAAAACAGGGGAGGCAGAGTGTTTGGGGGGCCTGTAGAGTGCTCCTGGGGGCTGGGGAGGGCAAAAACGTGACGCGTGGGGGGGTTGGGAGGCCATAAACGGGCCTGTTTTTTGTGAAAACGGTCCCGTTTTTTGCAAAAATGGGGGCGTTTTTACCCTCAGAAGCACTCTGCAGGCCTCCCAAACCCCTCTGTGCATCCTGTTTTTGCGAAAAAGGGGCCCCTTTTTTGGCCTCCCAACTCCCCCACGCCAGAGGTGGGCTTCAGCAGGTTCTGACCAGTTCTGGAGAACCGGTAGTGGAAATTTTGAGTAGTTCGGAGAACCGGTAGTAAAAATTCTGGCTGGCCCCGCTCCCATCTATTCTCTGCCTCCCGAGTCCCAGCTGATCGGGACAAAATGGGGATTTTACAGTATCCTTCCCTTGCCACGCCCACCAAGCCACACCCACAGAACTGGTAGTAAAAAAAATTGAAACCCACCACTGCCCCACGCATTGCGATTTTGCCCTCCTGAGGGTGGGAATGTTGCTGCATCTTATACAGCCGTTTTCGGCCTCCCGAAACCCCACCCCACGCGTCCCGTTTTCGCCAAAAACAGGCCCATTTTTTGCAAAAACGGGATGCACAGATGGTTTGGGAGACCTGCGGAGTGGTCCTGGGAGCTGGGGAGGGCAGACTGTTTTTTTTCTTGTTTACCTCTTCAAAATCTTGGGGCGTCTTATACTCCGGTACGTCTTATAGTCCGAAAAATATGGTACTCTACGGGCGATAGAATAGAATAAGACTGTCTAAGGAGGAGCCCATTTTCATGCTCTTCCTCCCAGCCAAAGTATCTAAACTTCGCTGTATCTTGGTCCTCAGGAACGCGGCCCCTCCCTTCTGGGAATCCAGACCACATTCCACCACAGTGATCGAGAAAGTGTACATACGGGGGTGACAGACATCGTTTAAAAAGCCATCAGGACTTTTATTTATTTATTTAGCTCATGGCCCTGCAATCACTGATAAACAGCACTAATAAAAGTGCTGTCCACATTCAAACACAAAGTTTAAATAAAACATCGTAAATGAAACAACTGAGCTTTTATTTTATCCATATCTATATCTATCTGTGTTTTTATGTATATAAAAATATGGGGCGATAGAATAGAATAGAATAGAATAGAATAGAATAGAATAGAATAGAATAGAATAACAGGGAAGGAAGGGACCTTGGAGGTCTTCTAGTCCAACCCCCTGCTCAGGCAGGAAACCCTAGACCACTTCAGACAAATGGTTATCCAATCTCTTCTTAAAAACTTCCAGTGTTGGAGAATTTACAACTTCTGGTGGCAAGTTGTTCCATTGATTAATTGTTCTCACTGTCAGGAAGTTTCTCCTTAGTTCTAGGTTGCTTCTCTCCTTGATTAGTTTCCACCCTTTGCTTCTTGTCTTGTCTTGAGATAGTTTTGACAATAGCTTGACCCCCTCTTCTTTATGGCAGCCCTTGAGATATCGGAACCCTGCTATAATATCACCCTTAGTCCTTCTTTTCATCAAACTAGATCTACTCAGTTCCAGCAACCATTCTTTATATGTTTTAGCCGCCAGTCCCCTAATCATCATTGTTGCTCTTCTCTGCACTCTTTCTAGAGTCTCCACATCTTGTTTACACTGTGGTGACCAAGATTGCATGCAAAATTCCAAGTGTGGCCTTACCAAGGCCTTATAAAGTGGTATTAACCCTTCACGTGATCTTGATTCTATCTAATTCCTAAGATAAAATATTAAATTAAGGTGAAGCCATGATAAAATCACTGTGGTGCCGCAGAATCACAATAGGGTAAGATATCTAAGGAAGCTAACCATCAAACACGGCAACCAAACTGGCCATCATCAGTAAAGGTTACCATACACTTCTCCGAAACTCCGAAAGTGTGATGGGAAAACCAGACCTTGGTGTAAAAGTGGATTAACAAATTTTTTTGTCTAGCCTTCCCTTGGCAGTAATTATTCTCATTTTACACTTGAGGAAATGAGATTGGAGCCGAAACAAGAATAATTAGCATCAAGGGAGCAGGGATATGACAGGAAGAGAGATGGCCGTAAAAAAGTTTAAATCTTTTTTTAAGTCCAGCTCATGTCTTGGTGACATACCCATCCATTTTCTTGGCAAAAAAATAAAAATACACACATCCGCTCAAAACCCACAAAAACTGCATGGAATTTATTTATTTATTTATTTTGTCACATTTCTATGCCGCCCAACTCCCAAGGGACTCCCAATTTTCTCCTGCAGGTAGTCCTTGACTTACAACAGTTCATTTAGTGACGTTTTTCACACTTACGACCATTGCAGCATCCCCATGATCAAAATTCAGATGCTTGGCAAGTGACTCATATTTATGACGATTGCAATGTCCCGGGATCATGTGATCCGCTTTTGCGACCTTCTGTCAAACAAAGCCAATGGGGAAGTCGGATTCACTTAATAACCATTTGGCTAATTTAACAGTGATGTACTTTAAATAGAATAGAATGACAGAGTTGGAAGGGACCTTGGAGGTCTTCTAGTCCAACCCCCTGCTTAGGCAGGAAAACCTACACCACTTCAGACAAATGGGTATCCAACCTCTTCTTAAAAACCTCCAGTGATAAAGCACCCACGATTTCTGGTGGCAAGCTGTTCCACTGGTTAATTGTTCTCACTGTCAGGAAATTTCTCCTTAGTTCTAAGTTGCTTCTCTCCTTGAGTACCGTAGTTTCCACCCATTGCTTAACAACTACCCCTGTTTCAGGGGTGAAATCCAAAATTTTTCTCTACCGGTTCTGTGGGCGTGGCTTGGTCGGCGTGGCAGGGGAATGATGTTGCAAAATCTCCATTCCAACCCCACTCCAGGGGGAAGGATACTCCAAACTTTCCATTCCCACCCCACTCTGGGGCCAGCCAGAGGTGGTATTTGCCGGTTCTCTGAACTACTCAAAATTTCTGCTGCCGGTTCTCCAGAACCTATCAGAACCTGCTGGATTTCACCCTTGCCACGTTTCCCCCAAAATAAGACATCCCCTGATAATAAGCCCAATCGGGCTTTTGAGCGCATGGCAATAAGGCCAAGCGCTTATTTCAGGGTTCAAAAAAATATCAGACAGGGTCTTATTTTCGGGGAAACACGGCATGTTAAGAAAGGTTTTAAAATGGGCCAAAATTCACTTAACAACTGTCTCATTTCGCAACAGAAGTTTTGGTTCAATTCTGGTCTGACTATCTGTGCTAGGGAGTTGCCATGAGTTGAGCTCCACCGACAATATTATTTTTATCGATGGACAAGCATTGTTTTCTCAAGTTAAAGCAACGTAAGAATAAACTGCTCAAAATAATAAAGAATCAATCGCCGCTCCATCTACAAGTGTAAATGTTTAAAAATTGGTTTCGGTCATAAAACTATAGTCCCCATAAAGGATATTCACTCTGGCATGAGGGCTATGAAAAATCCATTTTTTGAAGGACTTTAAAACATTGACTTGATGGAGTTCACTTGGTAATACATTCCAGAGATATGTGGTATGTAGAAGTATTGGACAGGTTGACTGCTTTCTAAATCAGGCAGGTGGACTTTAAAGGACAGGGAAGATTTTTTTTCTTCCTTGCTGAATACAAAAAATATAGGGGGGAAAAGAAATAAGAGCACATTAATGACGTATTCAAAAAAAGGTGGTGGGGGGGACGGACAGCCGCTTATAAAACGATTGATGGATGGGTCTCCTCTCCTCTCCTCTCCTCTCCTCTCCTCTCCTCTCCTCTTCTCTCCTCTCCTCTTCTCTTCCCTTCCAACTCTGTTATTCTATTCTATTCTAAATCTATTCAGGTTCTTTCCAGTCATCCAATCCGCGTAATTCTACTATTAATACACATGTTTACATTAAAATATATTCTTTCCTTCTCTAATCACCCCTTGTTTAAACAGACAGACAGCTCAGTGAAGATAGCTGCTGCCATCTAGGTGCGAGACATTATGAAAAGAGAGTGAGGAAAAAACAGGAAACCTAAACGAACCAGAGATGAGAAGGGAGAGAGAGAGAAAGATGGGAGAAATGAGTGTGTCTATTATTAATAATTAAGATTATTATTCTTGCATTAAAACTCCTTATGTGTAGGAACTTGCTTCCTTAATCTTGCCTGTTGTCTGCCCTTCAAAACACAGCAGTATAAGAAACCAAACTTATCTATAATAATTGCAATTGTAAAGATGATGAGGGGACAGGAGGCTAAAACATATGAAGAACGGTTGCAGGAACTGGGTATGTCTAGTTTAATGAAAAGAGGGACTAGGGGAGACAAGATGGCAGTCTTCCAGAGCTTGAGGTGGTGTCCCAGAGAGGAAGAAGTCAATATTTCCCAAAGCCCCTGAGGGCAGGACAAGAAGCAATGAATGGAAAGTAATCAAGGAGAGAAGCAACTTAGAACTAAGGAGAAATTTCCTTACAGTGAGAACAATTAATCCGTGGAACGACTTGCCTCCAGATGTTATAAATGCTCCAACACTGGAAGTTTTTAAGAAGATGTTGGATAACCATTTGTCTGAAGTGGTTTAGGGCAGGGGTCACCAACCTTTCGGGCCACTAAATTCATAATTTTAAATCCGGAGGTTCACTAATACGAATTTTTTTAAAAAGATAAATAGTATTTAGTGCAACATAAAAAATGCAAATAATTTTTCTGCAGACCACCAAAATTTTCTCACTCACAGACCTCCTCTTCCTCCTCCTTCTCCTCCATTGCAAACCCCATTCATTTTAGCACTGATGATGTTACCCAGTTGGGTAATGAGATGTTTACAAGAAAACAATCAAACTCAGAGAGCACCAAGAACCCCAGAGTCGTCACCCTCCTCCTCCTCCTCCTCCTCCTCCTCCTCTTCCTCCTCCTCCTCCTCCTCCTCCATCATTGCAAACCCCATTCCCTTCTAACACTGATGATGTTACCAAGTTGGGTAATGAAATGTCTATAATCAAGCTCAGAGAGCCCTAAGGAACTCCACAGCACTTAAAATTGCTAGGTGACTTCAGGTTTATCTCCACCAACATGATAAATGGAATTAAGCAGGCATTTCAGCAAGGGTGTCCAGAGCTCAAGAAAGTCGACACGTTAGCCATGGCGGTGTCATCAAAAGCTCCAAAGCTTGCATTGACCACACTTGTAGACTTGTTTGGTCTCAGAAAGAAGGTAAACAACGAATCAGCTGTCCCATAGGTATAATCTGCATGCCGTTATGTGGGTGAAAAATGATGCGGATAATCCTCTACTTATGAACGGTTGCTTAGTGACTGCTCAAAGTTACGAGCTACTCTCCAGAGCTACTTAAGACATGATTTTGAAGTTATTTATTTATTTTATTTATTGGTTCGATTTATATGCCGCCCTTCTCCGGAGACTCAGGGCGGCTTACAATGCGTTAAGCAATAGCCTTCATACTTTTGTATATACCTGCTTAGTAGGGATTTCGTACCCTCCCCACAAGCGGTGTTCTTTTTTTATACAAAGTCATCTTATTGCCCCCACAATCCGGGTCCTCAGTTTACCTACCTCGGAAGGATGGAAGGCTGAGTCAACCTTGAGCCTGGTAAGATTTGAACTCCCAGTAATTGCAGGCAGCTGGCAGCTAAGTGCTACTTAACAGCACTTTAGTCCGCTGCTCCACCAAGGCTCCAAGTTATGACAGTTGGGATCCCCTACCTTCCCCCATGGTCATGTGATCGCACTTTGGTAGCCGGGCAACCGACCCACACTTACAACGATTTGCATCCTCCCCAAGTCATGTGATTTTGATTTAATTTACGACGATTTTTTGGCTGGAAACCAAGCATTTATTTCTGGCATTTATTTTTAAAGTATTTAAATAAAAGTATTTTTTAAAAAAAAGAATATTGATTTTAAAAATGCCCATCAGGTACAATGGATTCACTTAACGACTTCCAGGTTTGCTTAGCAACGGCAGTGTTTACTTAATGATCACAGCAACTACCCAAATTTGGTTGTAAAATCAGGTGCAATCTAGTACAGTGACTCGATTAACAACCCGCACAATTTACAAACCGTAATCCCAGGCTCAATTCCAGTCATAAGTCAAGGGCTACTTGTAGCAATTGTCAAATTTCGGATCTATAAAGACCTTCTGGTTTAGGACAGGGGTTCCCAACTTATTAGCTACAGGCCACTATCGGGCCGTGGCAGAGGTGGGATTCACTTGCCTTCCCTACCAGTTCGCAAATATGAGTGCACGGCCCACCTCTGCGCATGTGCAGTAGTCATCCATTACAGATGGTAATACAGGGGTGAAATGCTCCCGGTTCGGACCGGATCGCCCGATCCGGTAGCAATGGCGGCAGGTGGTTCAGAGAACCGATAGCTAAAATCCCTGCCCCCCCACCAGTGGTGGGTTCCTCCCAGTTTGGTCTGGTTCGGCCGAGCCGGTAGCGGTGACGATATGACGTCACCGAACCGGTTCTCCCCCGCCCCCGCCCGCCCACACCCCACCCACCCACATTATTCTTACCTTTTATTTGGTCCCACCCCCAATCTATTGCTGCCTCCTGAGTCCCAGCTGATGACTAGAGGGAAAAAAAACTATTTAAACTCTTGCCGTGGGACTTCAAAGGGCCGTCCTACAGCTGATCAGTATTAAAAGCAAACAAATGAGTCGGGTCATAAGTGCGAGGACTGGTCGTAAGTGCGAGGACCTTCCAGAAATGACTGACCAGCTAGCCACGCCCACCTAGTCACATGACCTCCAAGCCACACCCACAAAATAAGCCCACAGAAGCAGTAGTAAAAAAATTTAGAACCCACCCCTGCCCCCCACCCATGCCCAGCTGAGCCGCACAATCATCAGAGGCTTTGTTTTTACTTTTAAAAGCATTTTTTCTACAACCTCTTTGGCCGAAAAAATGCTTTTAAAAGTTTTTTTTAAAAAAAGCCTCTGATGATCGGGCGGCTCAGCTCGGATCATCAAAGGTTTTTAAACGAAAAAAAACCCCTTTTTTTCTTTTAAATGCCTCTGACGATCCAAGCTGAGTTGCCTGATCGTCAGAGGCATTTAAAAGAAAAAAAGCCTATGCCGATCAGGCAACTCAGCTGGGATCGTCAGAGCCTTTGGAAAGCATTTTTTTACAACCTCTTCACCCAAGAGGTTGTAGAAAAAATGGTTTTAAAAGTAAAAAGAAAAAAAAAAGTCCACGCCCACCCAGTCACATTACCCCCTCTACCAAGCCACGCCCACAGAACCCGTAGTAACAGATTTTAGATTTCACCACTGTGGTAATAGTTCCCAAAAAAAAAAGGGTGTCCAGGATGAGATGGATCTTAAAGAATCCATCTCATCCATTTTGAACTTTCTTAAGGCAGCGGGAGCTATAAAACTCTTCCAAGGAGGGGAGAAGGCACCCAGTGATCCTCTGGGCAATGACGTTAACCGTCTGGAGCGCTGTCCTATCTGCCACTGTGCAACTGGCAAACCATACACAGGTGCAATAAGTTAAAATACTCTCTGGTGCAGCGGTAAAAGGTCACCGGCAGTTTTTCATTCAGTTTAATTAAACCAACTAATTAAACCATTAATTAAACCAACTAATGACATCTGATCTGTTCAACATCAGCCGATTTGCAAATTTATTCAATCTCCTCCTCTTGTTTCGACGCAATTAAATATCACAAGAAGTGGGAAACGTGAAGTTCTACGCCAGGGGTGTCAAACTCAAGGCCCGGGGGCTGGATCCCGCTTGTGGGGTACTTAGATTTGGCTCGCAGGGCCGCCCTGGAAACAACGAAGGACTGGCCCGTGGTGCAGGGGTGAAATGCTCCCGGATCGGACCGGGTTGCCCGATCCGGTAGTGATTTTTCCCTGTGGTTTGGCGATCCAGTAGCGATTCCCGTCCGGGTGTCATTACTTCATTTTAACCAGGAAGTAATGTTTTTTACCTTCTGCGCATGTGCAGAAGGTTTTGCACGTGCGCAGAAGGTGTGCATGCGACATCATGTGCGCGCATTTCCAAACCGGTAAGGAAGGTAAGTGGATTTCACCCCTGCCGCGGTGCCTCTGACAGAGAAAATAGAGCTCGGGAGGGTCGCATGCAGAGAGTTGCAGGAGGCTGTCACAGCCAGAACAGAGCTCGGGAGCCCGTTTTCTCTGCAGAGCCCTCGGGCCTGTTGTGTTGTCCCCGACACAAATGGTGTCAAGCTGGTCACGCCCACCCTGGCCATGCCCACTCCGGCCCCCCGAGGTCAAACATAACCCTGGGGCGGCCCTCAATGTAAATCGAGTTTGCTGGAAATATAACCAGATACGGGGCTCATATTATCACATGTGGTGGACATGCCCAAAGGCCAAAAAAAAAAAAAATTGGACAAAAATACATACATGGTTAGAAAAAATAGTAAAGCAACCTATAGATTTAAAGCCAGAAATATTTTTGTTGGGTATTTTACCAGAGAAATATAATAAAGGGAATACGTATCTAATTTTACATGTGTTAACAGCAGCCAGAATTGTGTTTGCACAACAGTGGAAAAATGAAGAGATCCCTACAGATGAAATCGTAATTAAAAAAAATATATTAGAATGTGCAGAAATGGATAGATTAACACTTCAAATTAAGGAGAAAGAAGAAACTGAATATTTTTTTTAACATGGGATGTGTTTTATCAATGGCTAATTAGTAGAAACAGAAATTAGAAACCTAAAGGTATAAGAGAAGGATTAATTACAATGAAGATTTACTAAAATGGATAAGTAAATATTACTATTATCATGTGATTATTATTGATGTTAAGAATATCATTCTTACTATTACCGATTTGTTGTTCGTTGCGAAGTCATGTCCAACCCATCACGACCCCGTGGACAACGTTCCTCCAGGCCTTCCTGTCCACTACCATCCTCTGGAGTCCATTTAAGGTCACGCCGACTGCTTCGGTGACTCCATCCAGCCACCTCGTTCTCCGCTGTCCCCTTCTTCTTTTGCCCTCCATCGTTCCCAGCATTGGGCTCTTCTCCAGTGAGTCCTTCCTTCTCATTAGGCGGCCAAAGTATTTGAGTTTCGTCTTCAGGATCTGGCCTTCTAAAGAGCAGTCAGGGTTGATCTCCTCTAGGACTGACCGGTTGGATCGCCTGGCAGTCCAAGGGACTCGCAGGAGTCTTCTCCAGCACCAGAGTTCAAAGGCCTCCATTCTTTGGCGCTCAGCCTTCCTTATGGTCCAACTTTCACTATTACCAATACTATCTCTCAAACTCAGTTGTACTCAGACAGCACACTGTTTATATAGATATTGAATTTTTATGTTTTATATCGTTAAAAAAATAAATAAAAAACCGAGTTTGACACCCCCGTTCCACACCATCTCACTACAGAAGGCCTCCTAATGCTTTGTCTTCTTCTTCTCTTCCTTGTGTGCAGGAACCAACTTCTCTTTACAAGAATTGGGCTTCGAAGATGTCTCGCCACCCCATGGGACTTTATACCGGACTGACTTAGGGCTGCCCCACGGCAGCTACTCCATCAGCGCTGGCTCCGACGCCGATACGGAAACGGACGCCATCATGTCGCCAGAACACCCGGTGCGATTGTGGGCACGTAGCACCAAGTCCGGACGTAGCTCCTGTTTATCCAGCAGAGCCAACTCCAACCTTACCTTGACCGACACAGAACACGACAACACAGAAACAGGTAAGGAAAAAACGACACAGCCGGAGTCCCGTGTTGCAACAGAGACCTTTCAATCGAGGGAGTCCTCAGCAGGAGTCCATAAAAAGCCAAGGTGGCAGCTGGTACCACATGGTTGCAGTCCTCACTTTTGACTTTTTCACGAGGGACACCCTCAGGGGTGGGCTTCAAAAATCTTAGCAAGGGGTTCTCTGCCTGATTGCTGGGTGGGCGTGGCCATGGTGGGTGTGGCCTGCACCATGGCGGGGGGGAGCGTCTTTGCCCTCCCCAGGCTCCGGAGGCTTTTTTTGAGCCTCCAGGAGGGCGAAAACGACTTCCCGAGGCTCCATAGGCCCACTGAGGCCCATTTCGGGCCTACCTAAACTTCCGGCAGGCACGTTTTTCACCCTCCCCGAGTCTCCGCGCACACCCTGCACTTATCTGCATCCAAAATGGGCCACGTGGGGACTCCTGGGAGGGGCAGGGTGAGCAGGGCGGGGCCAACCAGGAGTGGGATTTGGGGGTTCTCCAAACTGCACAGAATCTTAACTAGAGGTTCTCCCAAACCCCCATCACCTCATCCCTGGACATCCTGCATTTGATCCATTTCTGTTTCTTTTGTGTGTTTGCATGTGTGCATGTTTCAGTTGTCCGGTTATATCTCTGACACGTTGGACGTGTGTTATGGAAAAAAATGGAGGAGGAGAAGTCGTAAGTCTCGTCAAAAAACGACACATCCTTTTGCGTTGTGGTCCAAAATATTTACCCATGAATGACTGAAGGGCTCATGTTTTGAATCCACCAGGAAAACAGTGATGGGTTTGAAATGGGCTCATGGGAAGGTCTCTCCAAACAGCAATTTCAAGAAGGATGCTAATAAATTTCTCCTGCGCAAATATCTCCATTTCTGTTGTCGCCAACCTTTTATCGCTGAATGGATATTTATCTTTGGAAATGATATTTCTGCCGAGTTTCCAAAACTCATTTTGATTGACTCCCACTGTCTGTTTCAATAGCTCTGCTGGCTCTCTAAAGGGACGGACGCAAACACACACACACACACACAAAGACGGCACACTTTTAGCCATTCATCTTTTATGAAAACTAGAAGGTCACTTCAGCCTTGTTGTTTCCACCGCAGAGATGTCTTGAAATTGTGGAGACGGTGCTGGAACGTTAGGTCATCAATTCTTTAGGGCATAAAGAGTGAAGTTAATATACAATGGCATCCTGACCTATTCCTTAATAGAGATTTTGTGTGTTGGCCGCTCTGAAAAGGCCAGGAGTCCATCTGAGAATATCAGAACTGATTCATTTCCTCCCAAAAGTGCTTTTTCAGGAAGTACTGAAGACGTTTCGCTTCTCTTCCAAGGAGCTTCTTCAGCTCTGACTGGATGGTGGGGAACGGAAGGATTTTTCCTCCTTGCAGACAGCTGGTCATTTGCATCCTTTTTTTAGAGAGTCGTTGAGGCCACTTGGAGTTTTATCATATTGTCACCGCTACCGGCTCGGCCGAACCGGGCCTATTTTTCTGCCCTGTGTCCTGCATCCTGCAGCCAAGAAGGCTCCCCACCCATTTGCACCACTCAGGTGACCCTGAGGCAGTGGTGGGTTCCTCCCGGTTCGGCCCGGTTCGGCCGAGCCGGTAGCGGTGACGATATGATGTCACTGAACCGATTCTCTTTGTTCGGGAGCTGGGCCCTCCCCCCCCGAGGACACGGATAAACCTCCAAGTACCCTCAACAACCCTCTAAAAAAGAATGCAAATGCAAAAAGAATGCAGCTGTCTTGAAAGGAATATAAACCATTCCCCACCATCCAGTCAGAGCTGAAGAAGCTTCTTGGCTGAGAAGGGAAACATCTTCAAAGAAAAAATGTAACCTGGATGACTGTGTATCTCTATAGACTGATTCACTTCCTTTTACACCTCATAGTTTGATTTTCCTCATGGATAATGGGAGTGATATCAGCAGAGGTGATATTCAGCCGGTTCGGGGTGAACTGGTAGCACCAACGATCAGTTGGCCCCCCCCCCCCCCCCCCCCCCCCCCCCCCCCTCTATTTCCTGCTTTGTAGCTCATTTCAGTCGCGCGGCACAGCTGATTCCCCCCCCCCTCGTTCTACTTACTGTTGCTGACTTGGAAGATAAGCAGCTGAGCTTCTAAATGCTCCATTTTCAGCGCTGCGTGCAAGCACCTTAGGCACGCGCGCAGAGCGCACGCTTACCGAACCGGTTGTTAAACCGGCAGCATTCTGTCACTGGATATCAGGGCACAAATTACAGGGAGTCCTTGAGTTACAACCATTCATTTAGTGACCGTTCCAAGTTACCACGGCACTGGGGGGTGGGGGGGGAATATCCCTGTAGATTCTGGAAATTGCTCACAAAGTCACTTTGAGGACCGAATGTTTCAGCCAAGAATTAATTTGCGCCAAGAGTGAGTGAAGAACGAGTAATAGTTTACCGGATATGTTTATCGATCGATATGAATTGCCGGGTGTATCGATAGAATGTATATAGGCTTGGGGGTCAATATGAAGCTTTATCAAGCTGCCATCCGGAGTAGATTTTATGGGGACCATTAAAGGGCTCTTTTCTTCCTCCGCAGGTTAAAAGCCAGCGGGTTTCCGTTGCAGTTTCCTCATTCCTCATTATGCAAAATAAATAATCGGTATTGAATTCTGGTTGTCCGCCTTCTGAGCCTCTCAGACACTTTTATGACTTGGTACTTTCCAGGATTTTGGGATTTATGTGTTTAAAGGGGAACATAGAATAATAAGGTTGTCGTAGTTAACAATGAGCTGCTGACACATAAGAGAATAGGAGAGTGGGAAGGGACCTTGGAGGTCCTCTAGTCCAACCCCCTACTTTCACCTATTCCATTCCAGACAAATTAAGGAATTTGTGTCTGACCATATTTGACCAAATAAAATATCCTACAGATTTAACAGAGTTGGAAGGGACCTTGTAGGTCATCTAGTCCAACCCCCCACCCAAGCAGGAGACCCTACACCATTTCTGACAGATGGCAGTCCAGTCTCTTCTTGAAAGCCTCCAGTGATGAAGCTCCCACAACCTCTGAAGGCAACTCCTGTCCCCTTGGTTGATTTAATTTCATCTAAATCGTGGACTTACCTCCACAGATGCTCGAGTAAACATATTCTGTTTATTTCTTCTCCCAGTTCTCGCTTGAGGAAAAAAGAATTCACTTGAGATTTTTATTTTTTTGCTTTTTACAAAGAAGAAAAGCATCCATGGAGATTCTCCATCATCCAGGTCACGGTTTATTAGTTTATTTATTTATTTATTAGTTTGATTTATATGCCGCCCTTCTCCGGAGACTCAGGGCGCCTTACAATGCTTTTAAGCAATAGCCTTCATACTTTTGTATGTACCTGCTTAGCAGGGGTGGGTTCTAATTTTTTTTACTACTGGTTCTGTGGGCGTGGCTTATTTTGTGGGTGTGGCTTGGAGGTCATGTGACTAGGTGGGCGTGGCTAGCTGGTCAGAGTCATTTCTGGAAGGTCCTCGCACTTACGACCAGTCTTCGCACTTACGACCCAACTCATTTGTTTGCTTTTAACACTGATCAGCTGTAGGGCGGCCCTTTGAAGCCCTGTGGCAAGAGTTTAAACAGTTTTTTTCCCTCTAGTCATCAGCTGGGACTCAGGAGGCAGCAATAGATTGGGGTTGGGACCAAATAAAAGGTATTTGGCTCTTTTTTTTCAAGAGGCAACTGGACTTCCTTGCTTTTTCTTTCGAAGACGTTTCGCTTCTCATCCAAGAAGCTTCTTCAGCTCTGACTGGACGTCTTCAAAGAAAAAACAAGGAAGTCCAGCTGCCTCTTGAAAAAGCACCTTTGGCACATGACCTGGATGACTGAGATGTCCGAGAGTCCTCATAGACATTTAGCTATGAAATTTGGGGTGAACACCCTTCGAATGGTGCCAGGAGTATGAACAGATTTCCCAAAAAATTGCAGACTACAGGAATCATTTGTGCTTCAGTTTGAGCTACTCGGGTGACACTGAAGAGACAGACAAGCCTCCAAGTGGCTTCAACGACTCTCCAAAATGATGCAAATGACCAGCTGTCTGCAAGGAGTATCAATCCTTCCATTCCCCACCATCCAGTCAGAGCTGAAGAAGCTTCTCGGCTGAGAAGCGAAACGTCTTCAAAAGAAAAACAAGGAAGTCCAGTTGCCTCCTGAAAGAAAGCACCAAGGGGAAAAAAACATTGCTGAGAAATTCTCATCGGCAGACCTGCCTCTGGTTTTTCCATTTTTCCATTCAGCCTCAGAGAGAAAAGTGGCTTTTCCATTGCTGATGCTCGTCACTGTGAAAGGCACAGCTTGCCCTGCAGAAATAAGAATAGAATAGAATAAGAGAGTTGGAAGGGACCTTGGAGGTCTTCCAGTCCAACCCCCTACTCAGGCAGGAAACCCTACACCACTTCAGACAAATGGTTATCCAACATCTTCTTAAAAACTTCCAGCATTGGAGCATTCGCAACTTCTGGAGGCAACTCGTTCCACTGATTAATTGTTCTCACTGTCAGAATTTCCTGTCAGGAAATTTCTCCTCAGTTCTAGGTTGCTTCTCTCCTTGATTAGTTTCCACCCATTGCTTCTTGTCCTGCCCTCAGGTGCTTTGGAGAATAGCTTGACTCCCTCTTCTTTGTGGCAGCCCCTGAGATATTAGAAGGCTGCTATCATGCCTCCCCTAGTCCTTCTTTTCATTAAACTACAAATACCCAGTTCCTGCAACCGTTCTTCGTATGTTTTAGCCTCCAGTCCCCTAATCATCTTTGTTGCTCTTCTCTGCACTCTTTCTAGAGTCTCCACATCTTTTTTACATCGTGGCGACCAACACTGGATGCATTATCCCAGATGTGGCCTTACCAAGGCCTTATAAAGTGCTATTAACACTTCACATGTTCTTGATTCTATCTCTCGGTTTATGCAGCCTAGAACTGTGTTGGCTTTTTGGCAGCTGCCGCACACGGCTGCCTCATATCTAAATGG